ATCTTTTGATATTACATGTCCTAGAAACGTAACATGATCGAGCTAAAAACCACGCTTACTTAACTTCGCATACAACTTTTTTTCTCTAAGTACCTGCAAAACTTGAAGCAGATGCGAAACATGTTCCTCCTTACTCTTATAGTATACTAAGATATCATCAATGAAGACTATGACATATTAATCCAAAAATAATCTGAAGAGCCTATTCATCATGTCCATGAAGATTGCAAGTGCATTAGTCAATCGAAATAATATGACTAGAAATTCATAATATTCATACTTAGTCCGGAAAGCTTTTTTCAGAATATCTTCAGCTTTTATCTTTATCTAATAATACATCGAACGTAGGTCAATCTTAAAAAAGACTTGTACACCCTATAACTGGTCAAAGAGATCATCAACTCTGGAGAGAAGGTACTTATTCTTGATTGTAACTTTATTTAGCTCTTTGTAATCTATGCGCAATCTCAGTGTCCCGTCATTTTTCTTTACAAATGTGGCTGGAGCACCTCAATAGAACACACTATACCGGATGAAATCCTTATCCAAAAAATTCTTGAGCCTACTTCCCCAACTCCTTCATTGCGATTCGGCTCATCCTATATGGGGCTAATGAAATTGGTTGAGTACCTGATTGAAGATCGATGGCGAATTCCACTTCTCAATTTACAAACAGTCTTGGTAGGTCATCAGGGAAGATATCTAGGAATTCCCTCACTATTAGAATTTTTTGGATATTAGCCCCCTTACTTATCTTACCTATACATATTAAGATTTTTGTATCACATCACATAAATTAAAATCAAGATATTACTTTCCGTATACACAAAGAATTAAGAAGGAAAAAAGAAAAGTTATTAGCATAAAAATGGTACTTGATTAGGAATATTGAATACAAGCTTCTTATGGTAGTAATCAATAGTAACATGATAGACTACGAACTAATCCATCCTTAGTATCACGTCAAAATCCCTGATAATAGTAAATCTACCTCAATTTTGTTATCTGCGACTTCTGTAATACATGACTTATAAACTATACTGGTCGTCATATTACCATTTACAGGGGTGGACACTACTAGAGAAAAATCAATAGACACATGAACAACACTTAAATATGGTGCAAATGCATGTAAAATAAAAGAATGTGTAGCTTTAATATCAATTAAAGTATGTGTTATGTGCTTGTAAAAAAGGTACGTGCCTTGAATCACGTCGGGAGCAATTTTTGCATCTTTAGCTTTAATGGCATAAACTTGGTCTAGGGCTGCTGGTCTAACTTGCAATTAAGGCTGGGTGCAATCACGGATATGATGATCAGTACTTCTACATCTGAAGCAGGCACTGTTGACTCGGTAACACGGGACATTCCCATGATTCTTATCATAATGAACACAACTCTAACTTTATCTAGCCAAAAAAGTTTACAGCGGGGCAGGGTGAACTACCTTAGGTCTCTTATTCTGATGGCCCTGACTTGTGAGTGGCTTTTTATAGGGGATCAGAAGCCTGAAACTACTTGTTATCGGTGCAGAGGTCCCAATAGTACTCTCAATGAATTGCGTCTTGACTAGAACTTGTTGATAAGTACGAAGCTCAAGTACTACCTTGGGATTCCTAATAGCTGGACGGAGACCCAACTGAAATCTTTGGGTCATCTTCCCTTCATCATATGTAATCTCGGGAGAGTAGTGACTAAACTCTGTGAACCTTCTAGCATAATAAGTGATTGAGAGGCTTCCCTAGGTAAGTTGGGCAAACTCTATCTCTTTTTAATGACGAATGTGGTCGGGGAAGTACTTAGTATTAAACGCCTCAAAGAAGTGTTTCCATATGATGGGTGTGGGTAGAATAGTTTGCTTAACTTCTCACTAGTGCTCTGTTTCTCCCTTAAGTATAAAGGTGGTGGGGATAACCTTCTGTTCATCAGTCACCCCTAGAACTTTGAAAGAATTTTCAATTTTTTTTAGACAATTTTCAGCCTCATAAAAAGTCGATGCTCCTGTAAATAGGCTTGGATTCAGTCGCTTGTACCTCTTAATATAAGCTGGATCCATTGCTAGTAGGGAGCCTATTGAGGTGGAGGAGGAGGTGAAGGATCTGGTAGGTCCCCAATGCAAGAACAGAGGGAGGATCCGAAAGGTCCCTTCTTTCTTCTCTAGCTTGTTGACTAGTAACGAACCTCTCCATCATGTTGTAAAAATGATCAACATCTTATCGTAATGATTCTATATGAGAAGATCTGTTCGTAGGGGTTCTTCTTTGTCTCATTTTTGTTTGCCTATATCACCAAATAAAAGTTTTAAAATTTACCTTTTTGAAATTATATGCTCAACTATAATCATATCCTTAAGTCTCATGAACAATGGACGGTTTCGAGAAACATGGGCTCTGATACTTATTGTGGCAACCCAAACTCCCATCTAGAGTCCTGACTGTATGCACATCATATCATGATAAAAGAATTTATAGTAATATTTTGTATAGTAAGTTTAAAATAATAAAAAGTACATCCCTTACATGCTTTGTTCAGAATATCCTGTATTCGTGAGACATGTCTAAACTATAAAATAAAAATTTCACTAAAAATGAAATGATTAATATTAAGTACTCTTCGAATCGAAATAAAAATTGAATGATCTCCTAATAAGTCTTTTACTGTTCATGAGCGAGGTTCTGAGTATCCTGATATGAAAGAGATGAATAATAAATAGGGTGAGCTTAATATGCTTAGTAAGCGTGTATATACCAACAAATAATAGGGTAATATGTCAAAGTTGGTAGGAAATATAAAACTGCCGACGGGGATGGTTCAAAACACTTTCTCTTTAATTTAGAAACACGTGATATTTATACCCTAATTCATTAACCAAACCATACAAATCAGTTTACTCAATAAACATTCAGAATTTATTATTTCAGTATCATAGCTTATAACATAAACAATTTAATAAATAATATCATTTAGTATTCAGTATCATAATTTAGACAGTAAGCAGTTTAGTAGATATTAATTTAGTATTTCAGTATCATAAACGTTACACACGACTTTCTATTAATTCCTATCAGTTTATATTCTATAGCATAGTTTCACCGCGCGATGTCATTTTCATCGATATCAACGAGAGTAATAAGAATCTCCTCTACCATGTGAATACATCACAATTCAGTTCACAGTTTACAGTTTGAAGAACATAGTATATAATTTACAGTTCTTATCGTTTTACCACGTTTAGCTAAAGCTATATCCACGAATAAGGTTCAGTACAATCATACACTAAAAGACTACACACGTTCACCCCTCGATAATATCGCTTAAATAGGTTTTTTAAATATTTTAATGTCTATATATTTATTTCAACTCACTAATAAATTTTTTAATTTTTATTATTTAATATATTCTATACCTATAACACATATAGTAACCAATACATATACGAATTTAATTATCAAAACATAGCAAAATAATTTATCAACAATTTCAGTAATAAACATAAATAGGAACACAACAATCAACAATAAAATTCCGTTGAAATTCTGCACTTAACTATTAATTATTAAATGTCATTGTTTTAATATTTTAGAAAGACTAAACTACATTTGTAAGCATTTATGTACTTACCTGGTTTTTGTTCGCGGATCTACTTCGCAGAAGAATTCCTGAATGCCAAATACAATTGTGTGTAACCACCGAAAAGACGCGCTGTTGCACGCCTCCACACGATGTCACCGGAACACACACGTGTTGCCATCGAAAACCCTCACGAGCCACCGTTAGACCACTGTGTGCTGCCACGAACCGACCGAAACACGTCGCAAAACGCACTGCATGCTATGATCTGATGTAGATCAAGTGAAATTGCACCGGAAAATGGTGCGGATGCGCAAAATCACGCTTTGGCCACGACACTCCGATCTCCTTCCTCGGCATTACTCCCCCGCACGCAGCTCCGTCCTTACGTCATCCTTTTCCCTCTTCTCCTTCCTCATATCCTTTCTCAGCTGTGGGTGACGGTAGTTGCAGCCTATCTCTTTAAACCCTTTATCTCTCTCTCTCTCTCTCTCTCTCTCTCTCTCTCTCTCTCTCTCTCTCTCTCTCTCTCTCTCTCTCTCTCTCTCTCTCTTTTCCTACACCGA